GATTAGTGGCCACATGAGCAGAGGGTTTGCTGCTGCTGGTTGAGGAAGAATGTTTGCTGCAGCAGCAGCACGGTGGTTTATTCGCCTAGCATAATTTCTGCTGCTGCTGCTGCTGCTGCTGCTGCTGCTGCTGTTTTTTGTTGTATTTGTGTTGCTGCTGCAGCACAGCAGCGTCCTTCTGAGGCGATAGCTGCGCTGCTGGAGTGTATACGCAGCTGCCCCTCTTTTGCTGCAGCATGGGAGGATCTAACACAAATCCTAGCAGCACAAGTGTTTGCTGCTGGCGAGGCTTACAGCCCTCTCCCTTTATCGAGTGCAGGCTCAGCAACAGCAGCAGCAGCAGCAGCAGCAGCAGCTGCAGCAGCAGCAGCAGCAACTGCTGCTGCTGCTGCTGCAGAGGGCGTTGCAGCGGCCCAGGGGACCAATGCTGATGCTGCAGCAGCTGCTGCAGATAAAGACTGCAGCAAACACAATAGAGGGAACCTACACCAACAGCAGCAGCAGCAGCAGCAGCAGCAGCAGCAGCAGGATATGCAGACCGATATGCAGATCGCTTGCGATCAGGACATTCCCCATACTGACGCCAGCAGCAGCAGCAGCAGCAGCAGCAGAAGCGGGGTTACAGCTCTACAGCAGCAGCAGCAGCAGCAACAGCAGCAGCAGCAGCAGCAGCAGCAGCAGTACTTGCCTGGGGGAGACGGCGACTGGAGCCAATGCGTTATATCAGCAGCAGCAGAAGCAGCAGCAGCAGCAATAGCAGCAGAAGCAGAAGCAGCAGAAGCAGCAACTGCAGCAGAAGCAGCAGATCTCATCAGCCCCGTTGCAGCTGGAGGCCAAAGCCATCCTACGGCCGTACGGTTCAAGGGTTTAGGGTTTAGGGTTTAGGGTTTAGGGTTTAGGGTTTGGGGTTTAGGGTTTAGGGTTTATAAATTAATATAATATTTAAATTTTTTGTCTACTCCTTTTGCAGTCTTTTCTCGGTATTTCATATCCAGAGAAATTAATAAAAATAAATTTAGGGTTTAGGGTTTAGGGTTTAGGGTTGAGGGTGTAGGGTTTAGGGTTTAGGGTTTAGGGTTTGGTTTAGGGTTTGTGTTGTGTATTCAGGGTTCTGTGTGTACTGTATATCCCGAGGATTTAATAAAAATGAATAGTGATGAGTTTTTATATGCATTAGGATTAGATAAATCTGGGGTGTATGGACAGCTCTACTTTGGTTTATTTTGTTTAAAAATAAATAATTTTATTTCCGCCATTTCTTCTTTTTCTCGTCTTCTTTATTTATTTCCTAATTCACCTTTTCTTCTATCACATGTAAGTCTATCTCTTCTTTTATTATTTTTTATTTTTTTTTCTCGGTTTGTTTGTTTAGTTTTTTTTTATTTGTTTGTTTGGGTGTTTACTTTTTTTTTTGTTTGTTTGTCTGGCGCTGCTGTGTTTGGCTGTGTATTCCTTCTGTGTTGCTCTTTTGTTTTCCTTTTCTTTTGTTTTGTTCTACATATATATATATATATACATATGATATAGATGTATATATATATATATATAGTATATATAATATATCTAATATATATATATATATATATATATATATAATATTAAAATTTTGTTTGTTTTCAGCTGGCGAAGTGTGCGTACGAGTTGGGGGAAAACAAAACGGCTCTCAAATTATTTCAGCACCTCCAACAAATGTAATACACTATTGCATGCATGCATGCATGCATGCGTGCATGCATGCATGCATGCATGCATGCATATACATATACCTATACATATAAATATACAGATGCATGCATGCATGCAAAGATACAGATACATGCATGCATATACACATACATATACACATACACATGCATATGCATGCATATACATATACATATACATATACATGCATGCATGCATTTGCATGCATGCATGCATGCATGCATGCATGCATCTGCATGCTTGGATTTGGGTTGCAGGCACCCATCTCGTTTGGACTTTGTGTTGGAGTTTGCTCGTCTTTTGTGTCAACAAAACGACAAAGAAGGAATACAACGCCTCGCAGAACACGTAACCCTAAACCCTAAACCCTAAACCCTAAACCCTGATTTGTAAGAGATATGAGATATGTTTCTGTATAGTTATTATATTAATTAATTGTTTTTGTTTTAGTGGGGTGGACATTTATATATTTATTTACTGCTGCTAATGGATTTGTTTGTTTTGTTTTATTTTTTATTTTTTTTTATTTATTTGTTTTATATTTTCATTCTGTTTATTTTATTTATTCATTTGCTATATTGCTTCCCTTTATTAATTAATTTATTTATTTATTATAATTAATTAATTAATTTAATTTAATTTATTTATTTATTTATTTATTTATTTATTTATTTCTGTTTTTTTATAATTTATTTATTTATTTATTTATTTATTTTTGTTTTTTTTTTTTTTTTAGTGTCAGAGTATGGCCCCCACCTCATTCAGTACATTTCAGGTGTATGCGCAGCTCGCGCGTCTTAATGGGGCCCTAGAAGAGGCTGTAGAGGTTTTGCATGCAGCCACAGCTATAAACCCAACGTAAGATAAATAAATTAGGGTTTAGGGTTTAGGGTTTAGGGGTTAGGGGTTAGGGGTTAGGGTTTTGGGGGGGGGAACACAGGGGCACACACACTTACTACGGCTTCTCTCAAGGGTTTAGGGTTTAGGGGTTAGGGTTTAGGGTTTAGGGTTTAGGGTTTAGGGGTTTTAGTGGAGGATATATGCTGCCTATGGAGTGATTAAACAAAGCATATGATGCGTATTATGTATTCAATTCAAGGGTTTAGGGTTTAGGGTTTAGGGTTTAGAGTTTAGGGTTTAGGGTTTAGGGTTTAGGGTTTGTGTATCAGGGCTGGTGAGGGTTGGACGCAGTTGGGTTCGGCGTATTTAGAAATGGGGGATTTACTATCAGCAGCAAAAGCTTTTGCTGCTGCAGCAGCAGCAGCACCAGCAGCAGCAGCAGCACATCTAGGGGGGGGCCAGACACAGGCGCTGCTGCATAACTGGGCTGCAGCAGAACGCCTCTACGCTACAGCTGTCAAATGCAGGTGAGGGTTTAGGGTTTAGGGTTTAGGGTTTAGGGTTTGTTAGGGTTT